TTTTTTATATCTTCTCGGGTGAAGAGAACGGTAAAGTTAGAATGGTAAAGGCTTTATGTCAGACCTTATATCCAACGATGTATCCGATAACAGGTTAAATTCACGTATTCCGTAATAAATCCATTCCGTTAAATATTTGCCATAGAGAACCGGTCATGAAAAAACGGAACGAAATCATTCTGATTGGTTAACTCCTCACCATTTTCCTTCCCGTTATTATTCCGTTCCGCTATTTCCTTGTCCATGGGGACGTACTCTTACATTGCGTTCTACTGTTCTTGTTAGAACGATTAAGACTCTAGAATAGTTTCAGAGAATATCACCAGAGTAAGCAATTGTAAACTTTTTTGTCACGTTGGCTTTCTTCATTATTGTATTATTTTTAATATTTGACAATTGATGTAAATAATATATTATTTTTCATAGACATAATATAGATCCCGCATATACTCTTCTATACCACCAGTTGAGTTTGGCAGAACGAGAGAGGCAAAATATCGGGGATTATTTGTCCTTTACTGCACGCGCATTATTGACAAATAAAAATGGCCTACTCGAGAATCATCTGATATCCGTAGCAATATACTTGTATTTAAAATGAAATAATATATTTTTAAATTTATTGAATACGAGAAAGAAAATTTTAATAAAGCTATAAAGAACAATATAATAAAGAACAATATAATTGTTCATCACGACTGTCATATAATCTGTCAATAGATCATCGCGCATCTTATCTGCGTAGAGAGAAAGAGAGAACTTCCCCTATATTTTGCCTCTCGCACCGTTCTGCCAAGGACTGATATATATAATTAATGTTGAATCTATTATGGGTGCTTTCCAACAAGGAGAGTTTGGTGTTACACAGTGTGACATAGAGAGGCACTGTAAGACACAGTTATAGAGTTTAATTGGAACATAAGTTACTAAACACGCTCACTAGAGAGCGTAAAAGTCTGTGACGTAGAGAAGATAATAACGCATAAACATGAACGCAAATTCTACTATCTGGAAGCCGCGGCTATTTTCTAAGAATATCGGTATCAGTATCAGTATCAGTAGAACAGAAGTGTTTTATTACATATATTTTTATATATATTTATATATATATTTTTTTCAATTATGATAAATTTCTTAGTTATATATAATTTATAATACTGTAATGAAATAAAATTAATCATTAAATATTTTTACAGATTAGAAAAGAAATATTGTTTATCTTGCTTAAAACACCAAATGAAAGTGACAACAGCCGTTCGAACGATAGTTCGGAAGTCAAGCATGAGTATCAATACGGAACATACTACCTCAATTTCCTCTTCTAGTAATGATGAAAATGTTAATTTGCTATATTTTCTTTTAATGGAATTTGACAAGTGGAAGTAAAAGGCATCGGATTAATGATTATCTTGAAATTATCGATTTGTGGACCGAACAAGAATTTAAAGAGAATTTATGGTTATCAAGACGTTCAGCATTATATTTAATTGATAAGAAATGTATAAGAGAAAAATATTCCATGACAGTTTAATTTTATTACAATATAAAATAAAATTTAAGTAAAAAAATGAACATCCACCCATTTTTTATATTAATTTATTATAATTAATTAATTTATGACTATTTTGATTATTTTGCAATTTTAGTATCTCTATTATTTAATAATATATTATCACGCTTTCCACGTGTTTAATACACGTGCACTTAAATCAATGCACATGCAAAGTAAAAATATTGCTATTGATTAGAATGAGATGGTGTATATTTTTTTCACTCTACCAAACACGTTATTGGTTAAAGTGAGATGGTGTATATTTCTTTCTTTCTCGTATGATTTAGCCAAAACATGGTGGATCAGAGTCTCTGATTGGCGGATCAGAGTCGTGGCCAGTCTCTGATTGTAGTGTCTCTATACTGTGCTATCACCATCCGGATTATACCCACAATAATGAAGACAGAGAGAAGCTTGAGAGTAATGTTAATCTTATTCGCGTAATGTGCACATTCTCTTCCATGCTAGATGCAAGAGTGATAAAGACGATATGGATATGACTGTCCATCAATAAGGGTACAGCTAAAGGATACAGCTAAAACGCGTCCATGACTACTCTCAAGCTTCTCTTAGTGTCGGTCCACAATAAGTATTTAATCTTTAAGCCGTAAGTAATTGACTAATCATAGTTGAGTATTCTTTTCATATTCGATTATAATTGGTCAATTTCTTACTTTTTAAAGCTTAAATCATTTATTGTGGACCGACACTTAGGCTTCTCTCTGATAAAGATTAGGGCTGCGTTCCGATATTCACTACTGAAAATATATAGTTTAGGTCACGTATATTATAGATTTTCAGACAGTGAATATCGGAACGCAGCCTAGGGAAAAAAAGAATTTTCAAAAATTTTTTCTAAAATTTTTTCTTATAACTAATAAAAAATTATATCAAACGATAAATTTAATATAATATTAACACTGGACTGTCTTTTCATGCAGATGCACACTCATTTGCAAACCTTTATAAATTAGCATCTCATTACCTATTACGAGGAAATCGCAAAATAGCATAGGATTTTTGTATGAATCATTTTGCTCACTTTAATCTGTTCACGAAAAATGCGTTGTGATTTCTAGAATATTCGATATATAAATAGGAAGTATTCTTTGAAATAGATATTTCACTGGAGTTGCGCACATTGCGCATGTGCGAAGAATCGATTCCAAGGATGCGTTCCTTTATTCACTCCGAGTGCTCATACTATGACGTAATGAAAGTGTACTGCGACTATCGTTCCGTTTTAGTTTCGTGCACTTTCTAACTGCTTCAAGATTATAAAACGGAACGCAGTTGCAGTATGTTTTCAAATTCCAACTGAAAATGACTGGCATATGTAATATTAAAAAAAATATAATATATATAAATATATATATATAATATAAATATATATATAATATATATATATTTATATATTTATTAATATATATATAATATATATAAATAATTAATAATAATAAAAAAATTAATAATAATATTAATATCAATAATAACAATAATAAAAAATAATTAATAATAATAAATAATTTCATAATATTATATAATATCATAATAATTTTATTATATTATATTATTTCATATTATACACTTTATTTCTTCAGCATCAATTAAAGTTATTTCAGTCTTCATGGAAGCAGCCATCTTTGTGCTCTAACTGCTTTACCTCGCTGGTTGCACTAGCCGCAACAGGAAGTATGTCAAAATCAATAACGTCATAGAATTCAAGGCAATACTTTCGGAGTGCACTACTCTCTATATCGGAACGCTATTCGTAGTATTCGGAGTGAATAAAGGAACGCACCCTAAATGCACACGTGCAATCGCGATCAGTATGTGTTTAGGTTATTTGTTCGCTAAAGAATACAATATATAAATATATTATATATTATATAAAAGTGTGATTTGTTTTAATTTAGAGTGACATTGCGCCATGCCTTCCGTAAACAGAATCGTGTAAGTCTCATGTATTTATATATTATTTATTATTTTACCTTAATATATAGAATAATATATAGTATCATGTGCATTATAACTTTGTATAATATTCATTTATAGACAACCAATTACCCATAAGGGTAAGAAAGCTATATTGAAGAAAGAACCTAAATTAATAGAGGATCTTAAGGAAGCTTTGTTCCTCAAAGGTACACGAACGTCACAAATAGTTATTGATATCATGAAGGATTTGGTAAGCAAATGTGTGAAATAATTTTTATTCATTATATTTATATTGCTTCAATATTTATAGCAACAGAAATTGACAAAATTTTTAATTATATACACTTTTCAGTATGATCTGAAAAAACCTAATGTACAAATGATGCAGAAGAAAAATGATATAATACCATTTGAAGATATTACACCTATTGAGAAATTTACGTTTAAGTATAACACATCTCTTTTCATGATGGCTCTGCACAATAAGAAACGTCCTCATAATCTTGTGATGGGTCGAATGTACGAACGTACATTACTGGATATGATAGAGTTTGGCATAGAAAACTATAAAGGATTAAAGGATTTCAAAGTTGAGAAGATTACCTCAGGATTAAAACCATTATTGATTTTTAATGGTGAACTCTTTGAGACTAACCATGAATATGGCAGGATTAAAAACTTGCTTGTTGATATGTTTCAAAGGGAAGAAGTCCAGAAAATCAGATTGCAAGGTCTCGAACATGTTTTGAGTTTTACAGCTGTTGAGAATAAAATACTTTTACGCAGCTACAGGTAGGATAGATGTAAAATTAAATATTAATTTTTTTCAATTTTTTGACTGCTTTTTTTAGATTAATCTATTATAAAAACAAATATTGCATGTAATAATTATAAAGTATCTTAAATAGGTAAAAAAATATGCTTAGTAAGTACAATTAAAATTATTATATATTTTTAATATTTCAGAATATTTTTGAAAAAATCTAATACAAGAATACCTAAGATAGAACTTGAAGAAATAGGACCATGTGCAGATTTACTATGCAGACGCAATAAGTTTGCTTCTGAAGATTTGTTCAAGACAGCTTGTAAAAAACCTAAAGTCATCAAGGTATTGTTTTATAAATAATTTGGACTTTGAGGATTTGTTAATAAATGATACAGGAAAAAGATGGATATTTTAATTTGATGATATATTATAGGTGAAGATGAGGAAGAATATCTCTAGGGATACATTTGGAACTACATATGGCCGTATACATGTTGGATCACAAAATATTAACTCTATTCAAACAAGGAAGATGAAAGGTTTAAAGAAAACATTATCAGAAAAGAATATCCAAAAGAGAAAACTCGCTACTGATAATAGTGATGATACGAAGTAATTAAAAACTACAGATTGATAAAATTATTGACTGTATTATTAAATTAAAATAATTTTAATACATTTCTATGTAGGATATACATTGTTATTATATATTATTTCCAACTCCAACTGCTAATATTTTGCTGATCCTGTAATCAATGTGACGCATCTTATAGAATTAATACTTTATTAACATATTTAAATACGATTACAAAACTTACCTTCACCACAATTCCACAAGTATTTAAGCACTTTCGTGCATTGTCGCATTCTTTCAACAAAACTGTATCTTTGGGATTTTGCTCAAGCGCTCTGATTCTGACAGCTCGCCTAAAGTTCAGAAAATGGTCAATAATGTCTTCAATTTGCCTGTTATCTATTGTTAATTTTGTGGATCGTGACATGCCAAGTTTCGAGAGAGTACTCGAGAGATAATTCGAAACAGCGGCAACAGCACTTACATTATTGCTACGTGATATTATCTGTAATTAAAATAGAAGCTAAATGACTTATAAATATGCGAGCAATACGAGCGATATAAGATTTGAAATACTACAGACATGAATTTATCAATATCTTATGCAATTGACTTACATTATCTTGACGAAGCATCTTGTTTCCTACTCCAACAAGATTTATAATAGCATGCATTGCTTTTGAAGTGTCAAAATCATCTGTCAACGCTGTGTGAATTTGATTTCTTGTGTCATATAAAGTCTAAAAAGTGTTTAAATTACATGATTAATATCAGAGTATAAGTTTTTTTATTAATATATATGTTTTATATATTATATATAGAATGTTTCACATGTATTTTGACTATCTGCAATATTTCTATTGTTTTTGATATATAAAAATATCTGACAAAAAAGTTATACTGTTTGATAAAACAATTAATAGAAAGTTGTTTTTTTTATAGATAAACAAATTTCAAAATCAAGATAATTTTAAAAAAAATAGAAATATATGTTTTTATTTGCTTCACATAATTAGCATCAAAAGGAAGTTCATGTATATGGCATAAAAAAATAGAATATTTATAAAATTATAATTAATTATTATAAATTCTTTATATAACTTGTATATTGTACAAAAAACAAACGTTAAAAAATGAATTAATTTATTATAAAGCAAAAGATCATTTGATATCTTACTGTAAACAAAAGATTTTCATCAATTTCACCAGTTTTAAATGTTCCAGCAACATAATTATCACAATCATTTATGAAATTATGAAGCTTCTTATTTAACGATATTGCGCCTTGCATAATTTCTTCAGTAAATTCGATATCTGCAATAAAATTTAATTTATTTATATATATGAATTACATAAAGCAAATATTGAGAAATTATCGTATGTACCGTTTCGATAATGAGAAAGTAGACACAGCATTCTAAGATCATTTGCTGAATATTTTTTGAGATAATCTTGTATGCTTATAGTATTTCTTAGACTCTTCGACATTTTTACATCTCCTTTTAGGCTTAAGTGACCACAGTGAAGCCAATAATTAACCCATTGGTCAACATCATGATAACAACAAGATTGTGCCTCTTCATTCTCATGATGTGGAAATGCCAAATCTATTCCACCACTGTGCATATCAATAGAACTTCCAAAGACTGTGCTGATAAAAGTATGTATTACTGTATAGATCAATACTGTCATACAAATAAAAATATATTTAATAAATTTTGTATAGTAGTTATAATATAGTAGTTGTATAGTTATACAAAGTATATGTGTATATATATGGATATGTGTATAACATTATAAACAAATATATAAACAAAATCTAGAATTTGAAATCCATATAAAAGACTTCCCATATAAAACATAAAGAAGAGAACTGATTTTTAAAATTACCTTGCAATTGCACTGCATTCTATGTGCCATCCTGGTCTACCATAGCCCCATGGAGATTTCCAAGATGGTTTGTTATCTTTCACTGCTTTCCACAATGCAAAGTCTAAAGATGATTTTTTATTCAAATGCTGATCTTTCCTAATATCAGGCGTAGGAATTGATAATTTACCATATTTTTTGTACTTGTTTGTATTAAAATAGACAGATCCTAAATAAAATACATCTTGTGAGGCTAGACAATATTTGAATAGTGCTAGATAATATTTATTTTTTATATTATCTTATAGTAACAAGATCAGGATGATAACAAATAATGTACCATCTTTTGTAATATAACCATCATCCTTGGCTATAAGTCTTTCGATAAATTGAATGATTTGAGGTATATAATCTGTAACTCTACAGCATAAATATGGCTTGCGGATATTTAATTCATTCATATCTGTAAAAAATTCAGCTTCAAATTGCCTCGATAAAGTTTTGAAATCCTTTTCACTTTCAATGGAACGTTTTATTATTTTGTCATCAATATCGGTTATACCCATAACTAGTAACACATCTATATTTAAGTAATCTGATAGAATTCGATGGATGATGTCTGATTTTATATAAGTGCTACAAAAAAATAATTATTAATTAATTTTTTACATAAGAAATAATTGAAAATAATTGAAACTACTAGCCAATTGATTAAGAATTTTGGATTAAATTGTAATTAAAATAAATATAAAAATAAATATACAAAAATGATATAAATTATAATTTTGATGATGATAAAACAATCTATGACTGTGGTAAATGTAAAAAAATGTTAAATTAAATATCAATCTAATTGATGGCAGTTTAATTATAATAGTAATGAACAGCATATATGAAAGTTCTGTAAATTCTATAATTACGTTGCATGTCCAATGTGCGCAGAGTCATATACTGTAGGTCCGCAGATATACCACTTTAAAACATTGTTAGTTTTCAGGATCAGTGGCACCTTGCATTTCGTTATTGGATTATATATAAATACTTCTGTCTGATGTCCTATTGGCTTTATCCATTCTGGTCTTTCGTAACATTTCGTTTTAGTGTGTACAAAACGTTTGCATACTCGAATCAACTTACGCATTATACAAGTCGTATTCATTATTTTATTTTTTAATTTTTTAATTGTCCTGATGATTGTATTTAATTATTTTTCCTTTTCAAAGGATACATTCAGATTAAGTTCACTTAAATGTCTTCAATCACTTATTATTTGACAGAAAATTTATTAAACTTTATATATATTTTAATACATTTTTTTATTTCGTGCAAAAACGTGTTGGGTCGATAGAAGGATGGGCTAACTTCAACTTGATCTAAAATGATCTACTCCTTATTTACAGTGCAGATATGTATCTGTACTCAATTATATTTTGTCTTATAGAAATGTTTCGTCATAAAACTTTGTTAAGATAATTTCTTTTACAATTACAAAGCTACCTATAGAGCCAATTTTGCAATTTAGCTTTTAAATAATTAAAATAAAACTACCTACTCCTTATTTACAGATATATATTTGAGTGCAGCTATATATTTGAGTACACCCATATATTATCTCGTAGAAGCAATATTCTGCCATGAATCTTTTTCTACGTATTTTTTATAAAATTATGACTCTTGCTACAGAGCCGGTTTTGCAATTTGGCTCTTAAAAAAAAATTTACAATAGATGAAAATATTTACACTTTATTGCCCTATAGTGCAAATCTATTTACGCATAAATGAATTATTTATTTTTACACATTTTCTTACAAAAATCGTTCTGTAGCTTTCGTCAGGCAAATATTCTGATTATAAATATCATAGTTATATAGCTTATCTCGCAGCATTTTGGCTATAATATGGGTGAAAAGAAATTTATCTCCGATAGAGGTATCTCCATAAGAATAGGAATGACGGGCAACTCCGAATTGATTTAGAGATCTATGCGGTGATACTCCAAAACTCTGACTTCAGGTTTACCAACGTTGAGAAATAAAATCTCAGTTTCGATATGATACATGTCCATATATGTACAAATATCATCGCATTGTTTACGCGGACGCACTGCGGAGAGGAAAGATAGAAAAGGATGCGGAATCACGGTCTTTCATGTGCCATCCTTCTTCTACTATGCCAATGATACACGAAGTACCAATAGCGATCAAAGCCGAAGCATATCGCTTTGCCAAATACGGCCTGGAAATGCTTTCGAAATAGAAATAAGATAGAAAGCATATGTATACTTATAATATTTAAAATTTATATGTATGTTTCAAAATGTATAATGATAAATAATAGTAATAGAATAATAGTAGAATGAAGTAATGCAAAATAGGGTAGGATATTTAACTTGCACATTTCGAAAAATTTATAAATTATAAGTTGTAGAAAAAAGTATTGTATATAAAACTTGCATAATTTCGAGAGAGTCACATATATAGTGTATACATTTAATATATAGTACATAGTATAAAGTATATAGTATAAAGTATACATAGTATAAAGTATACATAGTATATAGTGTATACATTTTTTTTATAAGTGGCGGCATTTAAAAAATTTCAAAATCAACATAATTTTCTTAAATGGAATCATATATTTTTTTGTTATATAATATGATTGTTCTAATTATTTTGAATATAAAAGTATTAAAGTACAAATGTCAAAAAATCAATAGTTTAAGAGATATTTTATACTTTAATATTACATATCTCTATATATTTTTTTATAACCCCAGACAGCCATATAGATCGTGACGATGTTTGCAAGATATCACAAAAGTATATCACAATATTCGCATGATATTTGAGATACGTACATGATATATCGAGTATAAACTAATAATTTACTATGTCCGCGTTATCTTATCTCGTAGATTTATCCCGTAATTTATGGAG